CACGTCGCCCAAACGCGACCCGGGTCAATTTGCTGTGCAGTCGCCCATTTGATGGCGCTCTTTCGGGGGGCCCCCCCTCCTGCTCCCTTGCCGAGGAGGGGCCGCCACCCCGGTTCGCCAGCAGCGGGCGCGGCGGGTGCTGCCTCTTCCCTGACACCAAGCGTCCCCACCTGGGGCTAGTAGCACGTAGCACGTAGCAGCAGCAGCATCTGGTGCGCCTCCATGCGCTGTACTAAAACAGGGCAAGGCAGGCCAGCGGCTGAGGTGGACAATCGGGGCTGCTGGACGAGCTGGGAGGCTCAACGGTGGATAAGGTAGAAGCCCGGGCGCGATGGTCCCGTTGCATCACAAAGGCCGCCGCCGCCGCAGGAGCGCTCCCGTCCTCATGCTCACCGTCCAGTGTCCACTGACCGTCGAGCGCTGCCGCCACCTGGGCACCCACTAAGATAATAGGTCCTCCACCTGAGAGCCCCGGCAGGGTACCTACCTTACCGTCGTCGCTGTGCTCTCCTGACCTGGGGACGCCGTAACTTACCTAGACTTGCTGGGCCTCCTGGGATGCTCGACTGGGGGGTGGCGGGCGGTCCGGCCAGAGCCTGTTGCTCCATCCATTCCATTCCCCCCTCCCCCCCAATCCACCCATCTGTGAGCCTCCCGGTCCCGGGTTGGCACTCGGCGCATCTGGCTGGCTGGCAGGCTGGTCTGGCACCCGCCACAACGCAGCTCCCACCACCACTCCCACCACCACCACCACCGGGCACTACCACTACCACCACACCACACCATTCAACCCTTCTCGTCGCCCGACCTCCTCTCTTCCCCGTTCCCACAACCTCCCCGTCTCGACTTCGACGGCCGACGACCACGACGACGCCCACGACACCGACGACCGCACCGCATCACCTCTGCCGGCGCATCTGACCCTTCGCGAACCCAGCATCTCGCTCGGCCGCGCCCATTGAGACGGAGAAAGCGCTCCTTTAATACGTCCTCACCGCTTGCGGCCCCGCCTCCCCCCGTTCCCCTTTTCAGGCGGCCCTGGGACTTTGTTAGGCCGCCGCCCCTACAGACGATCTCGCTCGAAACGTCTCGGCGTCCACCTACCGGCGACGGCCTCGCGCGGTTCCTCGCCGTTTGAAGTCGCGCCCGCTGGCATCCGCCTTTCCGTTGCGGAGTTTGTGTGGCTCGTCCCGCGCCTTCAACGACCTTTCGTTCGCCGCGGTCGCTCCCCGCAAAGGCCCGCAGGCCAGCCTGCCTCCTCTCCTCCGACGTCTGCGCAACCTTGAATGTCACTCCACCAGAGCCGACCAGTTGGCACCGCCCGAGTACATCATACTGCTCGCGCGTTTCTCGCCGTTTGATCCAAAATGGCGCAAAACAGGTAAGCCTCTTGATTACGATTCTCCATCATGTTGGAACTCCGAACGGGCTTGCGACAGGCCCTGGTCTGGGCGGCCTTATCGCCAAACGCCCGGGATAGCACGCTGCCCCCAATCGCTATTCCATCACTGTTCCTTCACTCTGTCACAGCACCCTGCCCGCGTCTGGCTCTGGCATCTCCTGGCAGTCGCTGGAGACGTGATCTGCGTCGCAGGTTGTCGGATCTGGCGGGGCCTTCCCATGATTCAGAACGGCCGGGCTTGGGTCGGCCCTCGGAGCCCCGACTCGCCTTCGAAACAGGAATGCTGGCGACCAGAACGCTGACCGAGCTGCAGTATTTATTCGTCCGGGCAGTTTATGAACCCTGGCCCGGCGCCCCGACCACCCGGCGACAATAGACCACGACTGAACCTGACCCCGAGTACAAACCTCCCCGGGAGCATGGCCAACATGGCCATCTCCCCAGTTCGTAGCACCGCCACCTCGACCTACTCGGGCTCGACCATCTCACTGCCGATCGCCCGCCAGCAATCCAATAACATGGATGGCATGGGCGGGGTGGCCGTCAAGAAGGAAGGCTGGGCGTCGGTCAAGGAGAGCAAAAACTTCATCCAGCCGTGGAAGCAAAAGTACCTGATTCTTCGCAAAGAATCGCTTGATTTCCACAAGACCGAGGGCGGCAAGGTTGCCTACACTCTATACCTCAAGGACGTCGTCAACGTGGGCAGAGTCGAGCAAGCAGGCACCATTTTCGAGATCAAGAGGAAGGCTGACGGCGCCTCGACCAGCCCTGGCGACGACGACGGCCAGACCAGGACGTTGCAGATCAAGGTCAAAAGCGACGACGACTTGTACGAGTGGATCGACTTCATCTACGGCGCGTGTCCCGGCATGGGTGGCGTCAGCAACCCGACCAACTTCTCCCATGCCGTCCACGTCGGCTTCGATCCCTCAAGCGGAGAGTTCATCGGCCTCCCTCCGGAGTGGTCGAAGCTCCTCAACTCGTCGGCCATTACCAAGGAAGACTATGAGCGCAACCCTCAGGCCGTCTTCGAAGTCCTTGACTTTTACACAGACCTCGCCAAGAGAGCCGAAAACCCGAATCAGTATTCGAGCCTCACCCCCACGCCTCCTGCCACGTCACAGAACAAGCAGCTGGGCTACGCAGCCGGCAGCTCCATTGCACCCCCTCGTCCGGCGCCGCCCACGCCCGCCCAGCGCGGTCCGGGCTACTCGACGACTCCGCCTGGCTCGAGCGGCGCTTCCCAGAGGCGGCCGACCGTTGGAGAACACCAGCAGCAACGGCAGCAGATGCAAGCCATGTCACCCAACTACGTACCTCAAGATGCCGCTAGGGACGAGCAGCGGAGGAAGCAGATGGAGGCACAGAGGCAACGGGAGGAGCAGGATCGGCGCGAGCTGGAAGAGTACAACGCCTCGCTGCCCAAGACCAGGGTACCCCTCGCTCAGCAGGAGATTGGTGGTGGCTTCGGTGGTGGCGGCTCGCTGCCACAGTCCAACAGTGCCGAGAGGTTCAACCCCACGAGGGCAGCTCCCCCGGCGCCCAAGCCAAATGGTGCCCAGTCCAACGGTCTGCGAGCTCAAAGGCCCGCTCCTCCGGCTCCTGGGTCCGGATCTCCGAGCCGGCTACCGCAGAGCTCTCGCGATCCGTCTAACCAAGCTCAACGGACACCCCGAGCGGACAACTCGCCGGGTCCCAACGCCAGGTACCAGAATGGAAACCAGGCATCTCAGCAGAGGCAGCCCCAGCCGCAGGGCCAGGGCTCTCGTCTCCCGGCTCCCGTCAAGCCTCTCAACGTGGCGCCGAAGGCGGGCCAGACACAGCCGTCGGACGGTGTCAAGGCCGCGGAAGCGGCCCTCACCGCGAAGCCGGCGCCCTCGGAGCGCAAGCAGGACGTGCGCATGTCCACCATGTCCGAGAACGAGGTGATGGCAAAGCTTAAGGAGGCCGTGTCCAAAGACGACCCCAATATGTCATACTCGAAGCAGAAGAAGATTGGCCAGGGAGCCTCCGGGTCCGTGTACGTTGCGAAAATCAAGGACACGGCCCAAGGCATCGCCCGGGAGATCTTGCGCCAGCAGGGCAGCCGTGCTCAGGTTGCCATCAAACAGATGGACCTCGCTCATCAGCCGAGGAAGGAACTAATCGTCAACGAAATCATGGTCATGAAAGACAGCAGGCATCGAAACATTGTCAACTTCCTCGACGCCTTCTTGCGTAATAATAATGCAGAGCTCTGGGTCGTCATGGAGTACATGGAGGGCGGCGCCCTAACGGATGTGATTGACAACAATCCATCCATCTCGGAGGAGCAGATTTCTACCATCTGCCACGAGGTAAGGATCAACCATCTCATCATGAAAATCCAGCGCTGACGAGTGTTCCCTGCAGACGTGCCGAGGGTTGCAACACCTGCACTCGCAGAGCATCATCCATCGCGATATCAAGAGTGACAACGTCCTCTTGGACGCGCGCGGTAACGTCAAGATTAGTACGTGCCTTCCACAACTACAGCGATGGTGAATCTGATGCTAACAAATGACAGCCGATTTCGGATTCTGCGCCAAGCTCACGGAGACCAAGTCGAAGCGAGCCACCATGGTGGGCACTCCTTACTGGATGGCACCCGAGGTGGTGAAGCAGAAGGAATACGGGCCCAAGGTCGACATCTGGTCTCTCGGCATCATGGCCATTGAGATGATCGAGTCGGAGCCACCGTACCTGAACGAGGAGCCGCTCAAGGCCCTGTACCTGATTGCTACGAACGGCACGCCGAGGCTGAAGAAGCCTGAGAAGTTGAGCAAGGAGCTGAAAGCCTTCCTCTCGGTCTGCCTGTGCGTCGACGTCAAGAGTCGAGCCTCGTCGGACGAGCTGCTGGCGCACGACTTCCTCAAGCACGGCTGCCCGCTCGGCAGCCTGGCGGAGCTGCTGGCCTTCAAGAAGCACGCGAAGTAAACAAGCTCGTGGGGCCTCGGCCCCTGTACCCGCGATTGCCGAATACGGAGAGGCGTGGTTCGGCAGGCAAAGACGAAGGATGTCCATGCTGTGCACATGGACGACGACAGATCGGCGTTTTAGGTTTGGGGGTATTTCCGCGTCCATGATGCAAGCGTCTGAGTAGCAAACGTCATGTTGCGCATCTGTGAGGAGTTGCTGGGTCGCAACGCCGTTGCATTAGGGGCTGCCGCCGCCTGGTAGCCCTGTCTGCGCCGGCAGACGCATCCGCCCCTTGGGTCGCCACGACCAGGGCCCAGTTACGCGCCAGTCCTGCATTGAGTAGCAGAGGAGGGAGACGCGCGTTTGGAACCGGCGCCTCAGGGTTAATTGGTTCTCCTTCGCAGATATACAGGGCTTGATAGACCACCAATAGCACCATGAATGCCACTGGAAAGTAGGCCGACGGGGCGGCGCGTGAGGATATAGGCTGGCCTCAGGCATGTCCGTACATGCTCATAGCACTCCGTCAGACTCGTACATGCCTGACGTGCGCATGTGCGGTACTGCACAAGTATCGTTTCCCAAGATGTAGATGCTGATGAGACGCGGCATCCAAGGGCTGGAGCGTCGGTCGCGTTTCAGGATTACGCTTTTGGCAGGCTGGCGACGGCGGGGAGAGGCTCCGTGATTGGCGAGATCGGCCGCTAGCCAGGAGAGCGCACGTTTGGGGACGACGGGAACGGGCAAGATGGGAGGACGCTGGTTTGACGTGCGTGCATATGTGCGTGCGTGCGGCAGCCGCCAGGGGAGGGGGGCAGGGGGGGCCGAACATCCATCCATCTGTCCATCCATTAATATCCAGGACAAGGGCAGGAGGAAGGGCATGGATGTGGGATGGCGGATGTGGGATTGGGATGTGGGATTGGGGACGAGCCATGGGCCATTGGGGGGGGCCGTTGACGACGCGAGGGCGAGTACAAGCGACGGAGGTGGAAAGTGGGCGAGTGATTATGATTGCAGGGCGGGGACGGCGTCCGTGAGGTTGATGAATGGCGGGCCCCACGAACGGGCATTTAGTATTATGTCGTATGTATCTGACATGGCGCGCCCAGTCCTGGCTCCTTCTCTCTCATTCTGTCTCTCGTACGACGATGGATTCGGCCGCGCGTTCGGCCCTGAGAGGCCTTTGGCGGAGATGGGGGAGGGGGAGGGATGAAGGCCTCAAAAGCAAACGTTGCGGCCAGGGGGGGTTTGGTGGGACCGGACGAGAAAGGGGTGGGCTACACCTCCCGCTTCTTCCAGCGCCGACAGTTGTTTCTCCAGCTCTGGGTGGGCGAGTGCATTTATAGCTGACACGGGGTTTCGAGACGGAGAGGTTACGAATTGGGTCGGTGTCCTCCTGCCCAAGGGTTTTACCTGCTATGTATAGATAGGATATTATGTAGTAGGCATGGCAATGACAATGGCAATGGCGTCTGGCTGGCGGTTCCAGTTTCGAGATGCCACGATTAGCAGCCTGTGGAGACTTGGGCGTTCGACGTGGGCGGTTACAGCAAGAAAGCTGGGCAGCCAGTGATGTGGTGAGCATCCGTGGTCCTCCTTTGGGGGTTGACAGGCTCCAATGTTATGGAAGAGAGAGATGTCCTCCGCGCTCTCTCTGCCCTGCTTCTCCTGAATGGCCTGGAGGGGGCGGCGTGGGGGGGAGTCGTCTCCTTGCAGCCGCCGTCGTCGGCAAGGGCCTAGGTCGTCGTCGCTCTTCTGCATGTCTGTGTGAGTGCGGTTCGCACCGCCGGCGTCCGGCACTGGAAGGGGGCATGGGGGAGCGCACTGGCCAGCGGTGATCCGAGAGCCGCTCACGGCATCCATCCCATGCTCGTTCCTCAACCCGTCCATCCCCATCCGCCAATCAAGGACATGTCGGCAAAGGGAGGGAATGAAGGTTCCTTGGGGAGCTCACCACGGCGATTTGGAGACTCAATTGGCCTAGCCGTTCCAGGGACAGATGGAGGGATCGTTGGCATTATTAAGAGCGGTTCGGTCAGGATGCTGGACCCGTGGGGAAAGGGCCGCATCGTGTAAGACGGCGACGACCTTGTGTGCCGTATTACCGCCCTTCCCTCCCTTCCACTTGCACGTCTTGTGCTCTTCCGCCGCCTGGATAAAGTTGCCCATTGTGCCGAGGCAACAGACGCAACCGCCAAGCCAGCCGGCCGGCGAGGCAGCTTCGGGGCGAGCTGGCGTGACCGAGTTGACATGATGCGCGAGGCGGCCTTCGGTGGCGGCGGCTTCGGTGTGTGCGCCTCCGTTGGCGTTGTGCAAAGTGCAAGGCGAGGCAAGGCAAGGCAAGGCAAGGCAAGGCAGTGCAAAGCTGTGTGGTCTTTCCTGTGCGCCTCGCGGGTTGAGCATTCAAGCCGCAAAGGCAATGAGAGCTGTCGGCTGCGTCAGTGCAGTACTGCACACTGCATCGAGGTCACGTTGGAGCCGGATGGATGCGCGTTCGGGCCAAGCGAGCGCGCATTGACGGCGGTGCAGGCTGGAGGAGGAGGAGGTGAGGATCGAAGCAGCTATGCGGTGACCACCTGGTGAGCCCATGCCTCACCGCTGATCGCCCGCCCAGAGCAGAGGGGAGGTCCATGCTTCCATCAGCTCGATGAGCGAGTTCTGTGCGGTAAAGGTGCGGTAAGCCAAGAAGGTCGGATGGTTTCCATGGGATCCATGAGTGACAGCGGGTGCGTGCTGCGGTCAGTGAGCCCTGGAGTTGGGGGGAGGGATGGAGTGGAGGGCGGGGGGCCCGCGTGCGCCGGGCCATCTGAGCCCAACTTAGGCGACGTGGTGAGCTGGTGTAGCTCTGGTCTTCCCCGCGGTGTTCCTCGACACGCCTTCTTCAACTGGGCTGGGGCCGTTCCTCAACGTCGAGTAGAGTTAGTAACGTTTCGTCGCTACATCCTTGAACTCAGTTCCTAACGAGGGCCGTTGGCAATTGGCCTGGCGCGGCTGCGGCTGCAGTCGCATTGTAGCGACGACAGCAGCTGTGATACAGGTACCGCCCACGGAGCAATAAGGTTAGCCTGTTCCGTCAACGTGGTCCCCCCTGAGGAAGTCTCCCCATACGGCCTATTGTACTGAGGTGTGCCGGCCCAGCCACCGCGGCGCCAGAGCCCCCGGGCGCCTCGCCCCCAGACCTCGCACCCGACCTCGCCTCCACCGGGCACCTAGGTCAGCACCCATCCGCCGGCCGCAGCGCCTACCTCAATCCCATCGTACCTACACGTTACAGGCGTCCGGTACCTAGACGCTGGAGCTGGCAGTTTTGTGGAGCCGCCGAGTGACCTGGGCAGAGCGAGCCGGGAGCTCCACCCCTCGCCCATCCGACCACCCATGCGCCGCCGCCAACCTCCAGCCAGCGACCTCTTTCGCTGTTGACACTCGTCTCCTGGCATCTCTATCCGCCCATCCATCCATCCGTTCCATCCAATCCACCCACATCCTTCTCCAGGGCTCTCCTCCCAAATCTCCTCTACCTCTCCCACCACCACCACCACCACCACCACCACCACCGCCCCTCGCCATCTCTACCTCCTCTCCCGCCGACAATTCACCCCCCCTTCCAATGAGGCCTGTATATTGATCCGTCGGTGCTTCGTTTCTGCCTCATCTCTTTTCCCCGTCGCCCTCCTGCTTGCTGCCTCCCGTTGCCGCCGGTGGTGCTCCAAAAAGAGAACCCCCAGCCAGGGCAGCAGCACACGCTCCCACGCCCCTCGCGTGCGTGCATTCATTCTACGCAACATCGACGACGGCAACGACTTTCGACGACGACGACCGACCACGATCGAGACGACAGGGCACGACGGCTTTCTTGCACCTCGGCTTGTCGCAGTATCCTCTTGTAATACTGGTTACTGGAACCACCTGTCGTTTATTCTCCTCGACTCTTCGCGCGACCTGGCCCCCCCGGGCTGCCGCATAACCTGCTACGTCAGCAGCTTCAACCAGTCTCCGAGACTCGACCTTTTTTTTGCTGCTTTTTCATGGCGGCTTCCTCAACCACCTGACTGCCACACCAGCCGCAGACGCCAGTCGTTGCTCCGCCCCTGCAATCGGCCGCTCCAGCTCCTACGAAATTATATTCTTGTACTTCGTACCTCAACAGTCCCTTCGTCAACTCTCTAGGCCCACTGTGCCATGCGGCCGGACAGGTAATCGATAATGTCAATGTCCAGATCTGATCAGATGGCCCCCGGGTACTCGCACCACCCGCCCGCCGCGTCCCAGGGCCACCGTTCGCACTCTCCGTCCGCCAACAACGCATCCGTGCCCGAGGGCGCGGTGCCGCCAGCCAGGTCTCCCTTTGGCCTCGCTCACAACGGCATCATGGCCGGCAACTCGCGGTCCGGGGCCGGCTCTCCGTCGCATGACATGGCCGGCTCCGGAAGGCTTTTTTCCAAACGGTCAGCCGCCTACAAACCTTGTCTCTGTTGCCCCGGTACTACAAGCTAGGGCGATGACTACCAAGTCAAACGTTGCTGACCATCTCTTGTTTTGATACAGAGCCAGGGAAATTCAAGCTCAGGAAGGCATCCCAGGTCTTCCTTTGAACCCTTGGGGTGGCCCGCCGACAAGCGGTAACTCGACCCCTCTCCGTGAGAACATCCCCGAGTCTCCAACCGACGGCTTTCCCGACTTCGGCCAGCTCCCCACGCCCGACACCCTTCCTCAGACGCGCCGAGCCCGAGCTGGCACAGTTCCGTCCAGATTCCCCCCTGGCTTGGGAACCGCCAACCCTCTGCTGAACATTCCGGGTTTCGCAGCAAAGTCTGCACGAGCCACGCCGTCGCAGAGCCCCTTCAAGTCACCCTCGCCCAACCTCGACCACCCCGACAACACTCAAGGTGGCGGCTCGGCCCTGCTCTCCCGCCTGCGAGCGGGATCTATGCCGCAGCGCAGCCCCTTCTCTGCAGTCCCCGGCACCAGCTCCCCCTTCGGCCCCTCCATCTTCAGTAGCAGCTGGAATCCGGCCGCCGTCGGCCGTGAACGGGGTTCCACTCTTGCAAGCATCGCCAGTGTCGGTTCCAACGGCCCGAGCTCGCCGTCCCACTCCCAATTCTCCAAGGAGGGCGGTGGTGAATCAGACGTGCACATGCGCACCCTCGACTATCTTGGCCTGGCGGAGACGCCGCAGCCTCCGCGCGCTCAGCTGGCCACCCCCTACATGGCCAACAATTGGCAGCAAGCGAGCCGATTCCGTTCCTATTCGGTTAACAACAAGGACAAGTACGACAAGTATGCCGGCGACGATGATGAGGAGGCGTACGAGGTCGATGGTATGGCCATCGACCCCCGATATGCCGCACTGATCCAGCAGGAGCTGGCTGCGACAAATGCCGCCATCCATAACCACAACCTCGCTGTGCAAGCTTTCGCAAATCAGGCTTCGGCCAATCGACCCCGCGCTCGCACCACTGGTGTCCTGGACGCTCCCGCGGACCACCTGCGAGTGTACATGGGCGCCAACGCAGCCGCCCCAAGTGCGCTGGGGACGGCTGAGATCCGTATGCCTGAGGAAAAGGAGTACGACGACCTGCCCCAGGCGATTGCTAACATGAGCTTGGGGAGGTCGAACAGCCGCAACAATGGCCTGCTGAGCGCCGACGAGCAGGGCCTCGAGGGTCCCACCAGCGCTCTTTGGCTCGGCGGTGTGCCGACCTCGACCACCACGACGACTCTGGTGGAGATGTTCAAGGTCCATGGCCCAATCTCGTCTGCTCGAGTCTTGACGCACAAGAGCTGTGGCTTTGTCAACTTCGAGAGAGTAGACAGCGCCATATCCGCCAAGGCAAGCATGAATGGTAAGGAGATCTTCCCTGGGTCCGGGCCCATCCGGGTCAACTTTGCGAAGCCACCGTCAGCATCCAATACGCCCGGACATGACGGCGCCTACCCGTCCCCGAGTCCCGACCCGCATTCCAGGGGTCAGGAGTCGACCCAGGCGGCTACCAGCTCCAACGCAGAGGCCGCGCGTAGTCTGGGAGCGAGCACTCCAACCGTTCCCCCTCTCCGCGACATGACGGCCGATATTGTCGACATCGTCGGGCAGTTCGGAGCATCCGAGGACGACAAGGCACACATTGCAGGCAACGTCCAGGCAGCCATTCAGTACGATGCATACGCCGAGGAGATACCTCCGATCCGCGAACCAACTCACACCAGGGTTCACGACGCGCCCAAGCTGAGGGACATTCGCAAGCGCATCGACAACCAGCTCATGTCCCAAGCCGACATCGAGAACGTCGCCATGGAGATGCTGCCGGAGATCGCGGAGCTCTCTTCGGACTACCTGGGCAACACCGTGGTGCAGAAGCTCTTTGAGAATTGCAGCGACCCTGTGCGGGATGCCATGCTTGCAGAAGTCGCTCCTCACATCGCCGAGATTGGCATCCACAAGAACGGCACGTGGGCAGCCCAGAAGATCATCGACGTGTGCAAAACGCCGGAGCAGATGTCCACCATCGTCCAGCATCTCCGCCCATACACTGTGCCCTTGTTCCTCGACCAGTTCGGCAACTACGTCCTGCAATGCTGCCTCAAGTTTGGCCCGCCGTACAGCGAGTTCGTCTTCGAGGCAATGCTAAGCAGAATGTGGGAGATATCTCAGGGTCGATTTGGCGCCCGCGCCATGCGGGCGTGTCTGGAGAGCCACCACGCCACCAAGAGTCAGCAGCGCATGCTCGCGGCCGCCATTGCGTTGCACAGCGTCCAGCTCGCGACCAACGCCAATGGCGCCCTCCTGCTCACCTGGTTTCTCGACACCTGCACCTTCCCCCAGCGACGGACTGTCCTTTCGCCGCGGCTTGTGCCGTACCTGGTCCACTTGTGCACGCACAAGGTCGCGTATCTTACGGTGCTAAAGGTCATCAACCAGAAAGCTGAGCCTGATGCTCGTGACACGATCCTCAAGGCTCTGTTCTTTGCGCCCAATGATCAAGTCCTCGAGGCAATCCTGAGCGACCACCAATGCGGTGCCACCCTGATCTTCAAGGTGCTGACGACGCCGTTCTTCGACGAAAGTATCCGGCCGCAAGTCGTGGAGAATGTGAAGAACGTGCTCGTCAAGATCAAGGCCCAGCCCAACCAGGGCTATAAGCGAGTGATGGACGAAGTCGGCTTGTCCACCCGACCCTCTGGTCCGAGTCGCGAGTCGAGCTCGCATACAGAGCCACGCCAGCGGCCGACCTCGCGGCAAAACAATACCAACGGCCATCACCCTCAGCAAGCCCACGCCAATAAGTCCTTCTACAACCCGAGCCATCCTCCATCCAACCCTCCAGGCTTTGAGGGTGGCTATGGCTTGCAAAGGAATGACAGCGCCGAGGCCGGCATGCCTGGGTTCCCGGCGTACAGTCAGGGCATGATGTACAATGCGCCCACGGGGCCAGTGCCACCTGCGGTCAACCTCCAGCAGATGCAGTACCAGCAGAACCTCATGGCGAGACAGACGCCGCAACTGAACTACAGCTTTCCGCCCATGCAGCCAGGTTACGGAGGGTATGCTACCCCTGGCCCGGCCGTGGACCAGTTCCGCCAGCCTGCAATGGCGAACGGCAGCCCGATCCAGCCTTCGACTTCGCAAGTCCCGCAGATGCCTGCCAACCAGGCCGCCTACGGGCCCCCTGGCTTTAGTGTACCCATGGGCGGCGGCAACTATCCGTACGCGAACATGCCCGGCATGCAGAACATGGCATATATGCAGCATGAGCAGGGAAACGGTCGACGCGGCCGTGTATGTCTATCTCGCCCCGCTATTTTTCCTGCCTTGCAGCTTGGCTAACTTGGTCCAGAGGTGATTTCTACAACATAACGCCGCGATGACAACCGACGGCTTTGTGAGGCATGGTCCTAGACGCCGTCGGTGGCGCCCTTTGTTGGTTCTGGTCGACAAGCGGCCTTTGCGATAGTTGTGCTCGGAGTTGGGAATGGAAAGGAACGTTGAAAAAATACTTCGGTAGACGCTCGCCACTCGAGGGGGGCCGATGCCAGAGACGCGATTCGATATAGAGAGGCGAAGGTCACCAAGACATTCAGCATCAGCATGTTGGCCACATTTCGGTCCTGGCTTTCGGGGGTCTGGTCTCAAGCACCTGCCTGCTTCTTGTCTGCTGTCGGGCGTGTGGATGGTGCGGGCCGGTCTCGCCCATGCATGCCGCCGCGTGGCTCCGGCAGGGGGCGCCTTTTGCATGTCTTATTACTTGTCTCCTGCTTCGATTCTCTCGATTACTCATGATGAACGTCATGTCATATATTTTTGAATTGAACCTGGTTCAACCAAAGTCGTGGGGTGTGAGAACAAGTCAGGCACTATAGGGCTTGCGGGCGCCATGCACCGGGGTACCCAGCCGAGCAGCAGCGTGGCCGCGTCGTGTTACGTGATCCGAAGCTCCAAATCTTCTGCGGGCCCTGTGAAGTGTACGTGCCTTGTCTTCGTTGGATAGTTGGTGTTTTGAAGGGGTTCTTTCATGTCGTTTGTTGCAAGGGCGGCGGTGGGCGGTAGGTAGGTAAATAAGACTTGGAATGAAAAAAAGGCCGGGGGTAAAATGTATGTATCAATGGAGTGATAGATAGCAAGCGCCATAGGTTTACGGTTTACGTACGACGCAAGCGACGCGTCGGCAAGACACGCAAGGTTGGTTACCTTGCCGGCGTTGAATGGGAGGCCCTTCTCGACCAGTTAGTTGGTTCAGTGGATCGAAAGAAGCAAACGCCAAGGCAAGGTTCTGCTGCTGCTGTGTGCTTCTTCACTTCAGACACGCGGACTACGACGGCAGGGAGAGCGGTGTGGGGAGGACTGACTTCCAGGTTCCTTGCTCCTCTGGATCTCAAGGCTACCTGCCTCGCTCACTACACTGAACACTGCTACTATACCGCCTCGTTTCATTCCTTGGTGCTTCCCCCTGGGTTTTCTCTTCTTCTTCTCCGCCTCTGCTTCTTTCTTTCTTCTCCTTTCTTCTTCGTCCTCCTCTCCGTTTCGTCCTTTGCGAGGACGACGCGGCTATGATACAACACAGTGCATGCAAAATCAGCCTCACATCTACCACCACTCCCTTCTGTGTCTCTCAGATCCACCTCTCCGGAAAGGTGCGTCAGCAGCCTCTTGCCGAACCCCCAAGGCAAGAGGCTCATTAAGGGTCTTCTTTTCCGGATGACCGCGCGCCACGACGTCTCCCACGAGGGACGACTTGTCTGGGCTCTCGCGTCTTGTCATCCCGGCGGTTTATCTTATGATCAGCGGCTCGATTCGTCTGGACCGACGCCGGCGAAAATAGGAAAACGTGAAACCCGGCACAGCTCGGGCTAGGCTGCAGGTAGGGGGAAAACAAGCAAAACAGAAAAAGGGTGCGCATCGTCTCTGGCAGCACCCATATCGCGGTGATGATGGTCATGACCCAATGCCAATTTTCCTCCAAACTCCGGCGGATCGCAAAAACGAAAAATGTAAAAGAGGTATCATCATAAAGGTTGGCTGAGAGCAGGGCTATGCGAGTACCCAGCAAGCGGAACTGATACATGTCAATGAAGAAGGCCGCAGGGTCGCGTTAGTCGAGGTCCATGGAGCCTTCTGCATGATCGATGGTGGACGGAGGAGTGGGTTCGGTAACGGGGGGGAGCTGCTCCAGCTTCTCCGAGGATTCGTGGATGCCCGGTGGCTCCGACACGGGAGTGCGCGCATCGGCAGCCCCGGCCGCATTGTCGTGAAGCGGCTTGTCGTCGCCCAAGACTTGTCGTATGCGAGCGCTCATCGCCTCCATCTGCGCAAGCGTGGCCCGCAGGCCCTGCTTGTCGTCATCCGTCAGGTTGCCAGAGGCAATGTTGTCGGCATTGGCCTTGGCCATCAGAGACAGGACACTTTGGTCGGTAGCAGACTAGGCAGGCGTCAGCAGATTGAAGCGGCCACGGAAAGTGATGCATAACATACAAGGAGAGCAGACGTCAGCTGATTGATGCCGTCCGATCGCTTCTGCTGAAGGCCAATGAGATTGAGGGACACCTGCATCTCTTCAACCTTGCGCTCGAGGGCAGAGCCGGGGAGTGGGCAGGACGAGTCACGCTGTGTCGGCGGAGAAGGATACGGCACGCGCTTGGACTCGTTCCGTCGGGACCCGTATCCGGCACCCTGATGTCGAAGCCTGTTGGGGGATAGGGTTAGCATCAACGGCCCGCAACCGTGCATCCATGGGATGAGAACTGCTTACTGCTCGATAAAGTCGAGGACGACGCCCTTGGCGGGCAGCTTGTACGTGCGGCCAAAGGACTGCGCGTCGGGCCAGCCCGAATCGTCGGCATCGTCAGCCTCTTCACTCCACTCGATCTCAATGTGGCCATTGTTCTTGAGGCCACGGCTGAGAGCGGGCGCAATGGCTTGGGCGGCCTTGACCTTGCGGAAGCGGTGGGCCGGTGCGAGGCTGGGCACCTCGATCAGGATATCGTCGACGTGGGCCGGGCAGCGCCACGTCTTCAGCACCGGGGGCACAGCCAGCGGCGGGTCCAGACAGTCAATGTGCCAGTAGAGCGGACAGGCACTGCAGGGGATGATTGACCGGATCTCGGTCGCGGGCTTTTGGCAGGCGTGGCACAGCACGGCCTGGCCGTCCTCGCGCTGCTTGAAGAAGTCCGGCAGCTCATCGTAGCCGTTCCGCTTCCTGCCGAGGGTTCTCGTCAGTGAATGCAAATGCGCTGGGGGGAGCGACGTGGGGGCCAGGAGGAACAAGGTGCAGGGACGCATGGCCAAGCCAGACGCATAAGGATTCCATTCATTACTCACTTTGCCGTCCTGTTGACGACCACGTCTTCGTAGTCGCCGTCGGCGCCGGCCTTGACGCCCTCGAAGCGGTTCTGCACGCGCTTGGGCAGGCTAAAGGCGCGCGGAATGCTCTTCTCGAGGTTGTTGAGGGCGCTGGCAAAGATGCCCTTGTGCACGGGGACGCGCGACGGGAAGCGCCGGATGAGGCACTCGTTGCAGTACCACTCGTCGGGCAGGTCCTCGGACGGCACCATGTCGACGCACTCAAAGTGGAACGAGCGAGGGCAGCCGTCGCAGCAGACGACGTCGCCGGCGTTGCCACACGCCGAGCAGTACTCATCATTGTCCGAAGTCTAGAGGCATCGCCGTGTCAGCAAATGATGACGCTCACCAACCACGTGTTAGGAGACGCAAGCCGAAGCGAATGCCCTTGGCCACCCAAAATATGACCAAACAGGATTGATTGCAGCCACTAGCAGGTTGCCTTGGTGTGTGGTGGCATCCTTGTCTGGGCGGCGGGCGTTGCGCCCCCCTCCAAAACAATCTGCTGCGGTCCGCCCAAAACGCGCTCCCGGCGAGGCCAGTCTGGCCAGGTCTGCCCCGGGCTGCGCTTTTGAGGGAAACGCGTGCGCAGATGCGATGGGCATCGCGAGAAGCCCAGGGCGAGTGCCATGCAACGCGTACACACGCGGGTGAATGAGTGAGACGTGACTTACCGAGTCCTTGGGCGCCCCGTTGTTGAGCGTCGCGTTGGCCTCGCCCAGCGACCGGGGGACGCCCGCAGCCGTGCCTCCCTTCTTCTTGACTGGTCTGTGATGAAAAATCGTCAGCGCTGCCCTGCACGGCGGGTATATCGTCGGCTCTGCGGCCGGGAGTCGTGGCGGTCCGACGCGGCCTGAGGCGAGGCGACGCGACCGAGGGTTTGCCACCACCTGCCGGATGCTCTCGGAAGCCGCCTCGTCCGGCCAGACTCCGCGCCAGACACGTAGCAGGTGCCGATGGCGCAACGAAAAACGGCGCGCGCTCACGGCACCGCCGAGTTGAAGGGAAGGGTAGTACTCACGATGACTTGACGCGCAAACCAGTCCGCTGCTTCTTAGCCGGGCGCAGCGTCGTGGGCGTCGCAGCGCGAGACCCGAGGACAGATCCGCCATCGCCCTGCCACGAAAAGGCCGCGGGAGAGTCGGTCCTCTCGACAACGTCCTCGGCCGGGCGCTTGCTAGCGGAGCGCGTCGCGCGAGTGCTGGGCGGCGCGGCGGCGGCGGCGAGCGACTGTCGCGTCTTGCGCGTGGTCCTGACGGGCGTCGCGACGGCCGCCTCCTCCTGAGACCCCCTCACGGCGCTCTCCTGGGCCGCGTAACCGTTGGTGACCCTGCGCGCATCCCGTCGCCTGTCCCAGAACGGATCGTCGTCCTCGGCGCCGTGCATAGGATCCTTGGCCGGGTTCTGGGCCGCCTTGGTCGATGAGGACGCGGCCTTGACGGGCAGGTTGGGGAAGAGCTCTGATGCGTACGACGTGGTGAGGCGGCCGGGCATAGTGCTGGCATCATCGACCGCGGGCGTGCGATGAGAACGAGTGCGGCCCGATGAACGGTGATGAGGAGGAAGGGTGGGAGAGTTTGATTCAGATGCGTTGGACACGGCGTGCTGCTTGCTGGAGGCAAGTGTTTTGCCGCGGGTGGTGATTGGCTGGGATTTTGGCGCATCCGCATGATGATGGGACTGGGGCCCAGCAGGCCCCGGCGTGGTGGCAGCGCCGGCGACACCTCCAGCAGCGCCCCTGCGGAGTTTGAGCGACGGGCTGTTTTGGATAACGTCGTAGTCGTCGTCGCCGTTGGTGGTGGCGATGTTGCCGTTGCCGTCTTCATCCCCGTCGTTGCCGCGGCCGCGGTGCCGCCCTGTGCGGCGCTGCTGGCCGCTGGCCGCCCTGGGGCCCGTGGCCGCTGACGCCGTCGTCGACCTGGGAATCTTGATCTTGGTCCTGGCAGTTGCCGTCGCCGCCATCGCCCCTCGCACGCTCGCCGCGCCTATCTCGGGCGACGACAGGCTCATGGCCGACGACAGCGACGAGATGCTCGAGCCCGACTCCCGCCGGGCGTGCCTCTTGCTGCGCGAGGACCGCGGAGTCCGCACGTTGACCACGGCGCCGACCTTGCTGGCGCTGCCCGCTTTGCGCGGCGTCGTCGCTGGAGCCGTGGCGGAAGCAGTGCCTGTGACGGCGTCCGCGCTGGTGTGCGAGAATTTGGCCTTCTTGGCAGCCCGCCTCTCGCCTGCCCCTGGCGTCGCCGCTGCTGTCGCTTCGCCGGCGCCCGGTGTTGTTTCTGCCGCAGCCGAGTCGTCGTCGCCGCCGTTGCGCAGGAGCCCTGCGTATGGTGCAGGCTTTGGCTTGTGCGGAGTGAACCGGCTGTTGGTGGTGGGAGGCACAAAGTAGTAGCAACCCTGGTTGTCCCTCTTTCCCTCCCGCTTCTTCTCCTCCAGGAGGCGCGAAAATTCCTGCATCGTCTCGGCGTCGGCCGTTTGCTTGAAAACGTCCTCCACCATGGCCACAAACTCGGCCTCATCGCACCGCTCGTCGTAGAGGGTCCTCAGGGCCCACGCCGTAGGATACCGGTAGTGCTTCAGCGCCTCGTCCACCGCCGCCTCGACAACTTTGTCGGTGAAGGCCCTGTCCTCGGGGTCCACGCGGGCAGGCCGCTTCTTGGGGGTGCTCCGTACCGGGGTTTCCGTTTTGGCCATGATGACGGACCCTCGTCGAGCTTTCCTCGCGGGCATCGAAACACGTTTGGACCGCCTGCGGCGTGCCTTTTCTCCCTTGGGGTCGTAGTCGTCGTCGTCCTCGGCTTCCACAACTTTGGCGGTGGGCAGAGACTTCCTGCGTGAGGGTGCGGGTGCAACTTGGACGGGGGAAACTGGCGGGGGGGGCGGAGACGTGGGCGGCGATTGCTGCTGCGCCCGCTGCGAGTCTGGTTTGGGGTCGTCTTGTGCAGCGGTGGTGGCGGGAGCGGCAGCGGCAGCGGCAGCGGCAGCAGTGATGGTGGCAGAAGAGGATGCGTTGGCAGCGGAACCTGACGGGCGCAGAATGATTTTGCGGACGACGGTGCCTCCCGTCTCGCCCGCCGGCTTCTTGGGCTTGGGCATGGCACCCAGGGGGGCCATAGTCTCCAGCACTCCGTACCGCATCAATCCCGCCTCCTCGAAGCTCGGCTTGGCCTGCACCGACGGCTCCAGCCACCGGGCCATGAACGCCCTCGAGCCCTCGTTCGCGGGCCCCTTGGAGCCGCCCTCGAGCGACCCGTTCAAACCTCCGGTGGCCGTGGCGTGCGGCGGGTGCGCAGGGCTCGAGTAACGCGACGCGGACCGCGACGCTCTCGCGTTGGAGGACATGATGGCGTCGGAATCCGGGGGAGAGTCGCTTCTTCGCGTGCGTGCCCTCCCTCCCGTCGTTGGCCACGGGATGGGCGCCGCTCCTCTGTGCAGACCTGCGGGAGCACACCAGGTTAGCAAGGGGGACTGCGGATGATGGAACGGTGCCGGACACCGCGCCTCGGAGGGGGGTTCTCACTCGTCTCTATAGCTGCAGCATGGGTTCCCGCCGCTGGATCGCGTGTCTCCGGAGCGTTCGACGCGGTTGTCTGGCGAGGAAATGGGGAGGTGAAGGAGGGTTGGTGGTGGATGCTCGGGTCGAGAACTGGCTTCGGAGGAGGCGGCCTGGGCTTCTTCTGGTGTAGACTGGGCACGGCCGAGCTGGCGCTGGGGGGGCATGCTGGGGGCATGCCGGTCAGTAGGAGCACAGTGGACCAGGGGGGTCGATGGGCGCTGAGCTGGGGCGTGTCGTGCAGCCTAGACATGCACCGACTTGCACCGATTGCAGCGCAGGGCGGCCACTGACAGTGGCAGGGCTAGGCGCTACAGGTCGTTCGCCTCAGGCATTCGCCAACGATGGTGGGCAGGGCTGCTCTCCGACTCCCGTCGCTCACTCATATACGGACGGACGCACTCAAAACCCCCAGGGCTGTACGGAGTAGTCACTCGCACGTTTTCCGTCGGCCGTCAAGCTCTGCTGCGTCGGCTGTTGGATGCTGCACGGGTTGCTTGGGCTGAGCTGAGCAAGCGTGCAGCGCCCCGCCTCCGTGTAATCGCAACTTGGGTTGGGCGAGGCGACGTGCTGCCCCTGTGCGTGCCTCGATGGGGATGCTCCAGGCCGCCTCCCTCCCATCCCTCCCAGCCCGGTCCGCGTTCCCCTCGTTGTTGCCCCTGACACCTTGTCGTGGGCGACGAGATTAGTTGACTGCCCTGCCCCCTTGGACTCCCGGCCTCCACCTGTTTGCCTGGGCGCCATCTCGCCGAGTCCCCATAATCATCGACGCCCATCGACAAGTCGTCGACTTATCTGCACCGTACGCCTCTCCGCCCATCGTCGGTCAGTTGTGCGTACGTAGCAGCAGGAAAAGGAGTCAGCCCGGCGTGGCCGTCTCATGGCCCTCCTCCACCACAGCCACCCCCGGAGTCGTCCACCCTCGATCCAGAGGCAAGAGACGCTCGCTCGCCCGCTGCATGTTTTGTCACCCCCACGTCACATCAGGCGAGCAAGCTTCTCTCCGCATCTGCCTGCTTCTCCTCATCCCCCTGCACCTACATCATACAGTACGCCGTGCCGTCCCTCCGGTCTGACACCCTCAGGTGGGCGCACCCGTGACACCCGTCCCCATCATTCACTGTACACCTCGTCAGCCAAAAAGGCCGTCCTCAGTGGGCTTCATGTTACTCGCGCGGCGGTTCGGACACGGTTATCACGGACCCGGAAAGGTGCCTCGCTTGACGGCCCCGGCCCTGAGTGGCTCACATGTTCACTTTGCACCGGCGCGGCCCGAGAATGCCGCTGCGACTAGAGGCTCCCCGTCATGTATCCAATCGGCGCATCTGCCAATGCAAAGAAGGTCAATTCAGAAGGCTTGTTTCCCGTGTATATGGCCCTGTCGCCGCCCCTTTTCACAGGGACGCGGGCTCTGCTGAATCGCGGCTCGACAAAGTCCCCGCTGCACGCGGGCCTGCCTTGCCGTTCCCTCCCCTGCTGGACCTCGCCGACCTTACTCGCTGTCGTCCGAGTCATCGTCCGACTCCTCGGCAGGGGCAGCCTTCTTGGCGGGCTTCTTCTTCTTGCCCTTGCTCTTCTTCTTGCCCGTGTTCCTGGCCAGGGGCTGCTCAAGGATCTTGAGAACCTCCTCATCCGTGATCTTCTTGTCCGTCTTGAACTTGCTCACGTCGAGCGCCGGGGGCCCACCGAGCTTGGTGATGCCGTTCTTGGTGATGGCTACGACGTAACAGTTAGCAATCAGCTTTCGTAGGCGTCACAACCAAGCATTTCTTACCAATGGTGGTGAGCAGCCGGGCAACAGGAGCGTTATCCTTGTCGCCAACCAACTCGTACTGGCGGAAGACGTTGCCGCGCACGCACTCGACGACGCCAGACTTGGCATCGCGCTCGTCGTCGAGCTGCCTCAAGCTGAAGGGGAAGTGGCCAAACTTCTTCTGGACCTCGGAAAGAATCTTGCGCGAGGTGGGGCGCTTCAGGCCGTACGTCTGCGTCGTCCGGCGGTGCAGGGTGGCGCGCTGGTCCAGCGTCTTGACCTTGCCGGAGCCCAGACTGACGCCCATCTCGACACCCCAGACCTCCTGAAGCTCAGGAATACCCTCTCCCTTGGTGCCCTCGGCGGGCGCGAGGACAATCTTCTTGGAGCCCTCAATCTCGTCGCGGTCGAAGAGCCATGAAGTGGTGCTCTCGACGAGGTGGCAGTCATAGGCCTCGCAGACCTTCTCGAGGAGGCTGGTGATCCTGGCCTGAGTCGGGGCCTTTTGGGCGGCGGCCTTGGCCTTCTCCTCGTCGGTGCCCTGGGCCAGGAGACCCGGAGGGACCATCAACCGCAGGAGGAGCTCGTTGGCATAGTGGGTAGCGAGAATCAGGTCGGCCGGGCGGCCAGAGACGACCTCGTCGGCCTTGTCCTTGGGCTGGGCGAGGACGGTGTCGCAGGCAATGGCACCGAAGCCGTCAATCTGAGCTCCCAGCTGGATCTTGATGGGCTCGCCGGGCTGGATCTCGATGGCCGCCTCGCTCTCGTCCGAGGTGAGCGGGGTGTAGGGGGTGATGTACGAGGCAGGCGAGACGGTTGTGGGGTGGGAGAAGCCTGCAGAGGTTGAGTTGGTTAGCCGTGCAAGGGCCTTTGTGTCCGCCTCGCGATGGAGACGCATGCGTACCCTTGTTGATCTTCTTGCCGCGGTAGACCTTGGCGACCTCCTCCTCGATGAGCTTGTCGCCCTTCTGGCAGATGTCGACAATCTTCTCGCCCGGGACGCAAAGCTTGGAGACGGCGGCCAGGACCTTTTCGGAGATCTGGCCGGCGGTCTTGTACTTGGTCAGGGTATCAGGGTTGTTGAGGGAGTAGTCTATTCGTTCCGGTCAGCAACGGTCAAGCCATTTGAATGAAGACATGAGAGCAAGTGCGCCCGTGGTCGCGTGAGTGACGTTGCGGGCGGCGCTGCCGTTGGCGGGGTAGTTGGGGCTTTGTGCGCGACCGCAAGAGGGGCAGGCAGGAGCAGGTGGGAAGCGAATATTGACTGGCGACAGCAGAGCAGAGAGGGGAGCTCGAGCGAGCAGCGGGGAGGGCGGGAGAGCGGGGATTGGAGCGGATTGCACGCATACCGACGACTTCCTTTTCCTCCGACATGATGGGCAGCTATTCGACTTGCGGTCGGGCACAGATAAATCGAGGAATGAAGCGCACGACGTTATGCTGGGCCTGGTGGTTGCGGGAGGAGGAACAGCTCGATTGTGTGGGCGGGCACTGGGCGACGAGTTTGCAGCCGGGGAGGGGCTTGGGGGAGGGGCAGCTTTCCGTCCATGAGGTGGTGGGCTTGAGCCCGCCCACAACAAGCGGAGCTGTGTGTGCTTGTCCGTCTGCTGGTGCCGCTGCCGTTGCTCTCCCGCCTGACCTGTGACGACGACTGGGCTGTAACTAGTGGAGGTTGTTTTTTTCTGCTCAGGCCGGGACGCATTGGGAAGAGAGGCGGGGGGCCAAGCTAAGCTCCTTCGCTGTAACCTCGTACTAACAGCGGCCCGTCCGCGAGCTTGTCGCTACCACGACGCCTGGCTGGCTGGCAGCACAACCATTGGCAAGCTCTGGTATTGTCCTCGCGGAGGCAAGGGAATACGAGTACTTTCTTTGCTCGCATCAATATTGCCTCACTACAGTACAGCCCGATACGGTCGATGGAGGGGGAGCTGACGGCCCGCGCTTGGAGCAGCTCCGCGTCTTGCGTCCAACTCGCCCGGTGGCCGACTGTGCGTGGTGGTCACCTCGCCAGTCGCGGCACGGAGAGCGTCCCGTGACCGATCGCGTGAGCACTGCTACAGACACTTTACGCCCCAAACGGCGTGACTCTGGAACGTGAAGAAACGTTGGCGTCGTCTGGACGCCCTTGCATTGCAGTACGCCTCCAGCACAACCTCCCACCGCTCATTTTGGGCGTCGAACAAGTAGCCTACCCTAGAACCATCTGTTCCCGGCTCTCTGCGAGCTCCCGCAATCTACAGTCGCGGCGGGTGGCCAATTCCAGCACATGAGCTGCAGGACATGCTACTCGTAGTCATCGCGATAAGAGTGCCGCGTTTGAGGGCCGACACTTGGCGGGGGTGCCTCGTGCGAGCTGTCACAAGTTAAGTTAGACGGGCGTCGAGGAGCCATCCACAAGTCCACATACGTGTGCAACCGCCACGCTTGTTGACCTGTGCACGCTTGGCCACAGCACTCCCTCCCATGCTGATAGTGCGCTGCACAACGCTGCATTACCTAAGCGCCCTGCCGAGCCACACACAGCCACAGACGCTCGCACCGCCACAAGCCATCCCTGTTGCGCCTTTTGCCGAGCCGCCCGTGGCCTGGCCGGGGCCCGATCCGGCCACCGTTGACCTGGGCAGCGTCTCAAGCCTTATCAACGGGTCGGATCGTCCCAATGCCGTTGTCGACGATGCCAGTCGTTTGTCGTCGTGGTCCTGCTCCCAGCGTGCCTTTTTCTGATCTCTGCGCGCCAATCCGAGCGCGTTTCTCATTGGTTGTCCGCTTAGTCGCTCCGGCACCCCAGTTCGTCCAGCAGATGTGTTAGTGCGGTAACGTCTGGAAGTCCATGTACCTAAACCAGTGCACCGCTCCAAGCCCGAGGCCAAGTACCAGTACACCGTTCGCCAGCCTTCCCATCGCGGCGCGTTGCCTGGATAGGAGGCTGCGCTTCTCCTGGTGGCCGGCAAGAAATCCATCTTGAAACCTCCAAACCGCCTCCCACAGCCTCGTCGCCGGCACCTCCCCTCCACCCATCACCACGACTCACCCATCGTGACATCGAAGCGCGTCTGGCTTGCCGCTGGACCCCTAGCTGTCGCATCGCCGCGGCGATTTCGCGGTGGCAGCACCGCAATCAGAGGCCATGGCCACCACCCAGCCATCCACGTCGACGACGCCCGCGACGGGCCCAGCGACGGCCAGCGCGACAGCATCGCCCGTCGCCGACAACAACAATAACGGCGGCGGCAGCAGCGGCGCCAGCGCCAACAACGCCAACGCCAACGCCAACGACGATAGCAACAACAACAACAACGCGCGTGATGACAACGGCAACAGCGCGAGGAGCAGCCCTCCCACGTCGGCCGCCGCCGAGCCCATACCCGTTCGCACAAAGGAGTCGTTCAACCAGCTGATGGTAGAGCGCTACACGACGCGCGACGCTCTCGCCGCCGCGGCCCTCGGCCAACAGCTCCAGCAGACGAAAAAGTTGTCTCAAGAGGCGCGTGAGAAGATCCAGGAGTATCGCATGCTGCGCAACGAATACAAGGCATGGTTTCCTCCGAGCAGGCTCTTCGGCGAGGGCTACAATGGCTTCGCCAACGGATACACGGAAAATCAAATGCAGCCCCCGCAATCCCGGATCGTCTACCCGTCACAGAAGCCGCGGCCCGGTCGCCGGACGACACCGGCGTTCAAGTACGCGCGCAAGGACATGCTCAAGCAGGCCGAGCAACACGAGGAGCTGGTACCGGTGCGGCTCGAGGTTGAGTGGGACAAGGTCAAGCTGCGCGACACCTTCACGTGGAATCTCCATGAACGGATACTCCACGTCGAGCTCTTCGCCGCCCAGCTGGTCGAGGACATGGGCCTGAAGCAGCCCGCCGCGCAACCGGTCTACGAGCAGATTGTGCAACAGATGCGCGAGCAGCTCAATGACTTCTACCCGTTTGCCTTCTCCGAGGAAGACGCGCTTGACCCCGAGCTGCCGTACTCGGCCTACAAGAATGACGAAATGCGCGTCCTGATCAAGCTCAACATCACAATAGGCCAGCACACCCTGGTCGACCAGTTCGAGTGGGAAATCAACAACCCGGCAAACTCCCCAGAGGAATTCGCAGCCGGCATGGCTCGTGATCTCTCGCTTAGTGGCGAGTTCACCACGGCCATTGCCCACTGCATCCGCGAACAGTCGCAGCTCTTCACCAAGAGCCTGTACAGCGTCGGACACCCCTTCGACGGGCGGCCAGTCGAGGACTCGGACCTCGTGTCCGCCTTTCTACAGACCCCCCTTCCGGTCGTGTTCCGGCCGCAGCAGCAAGCCAAGGACTACGCGCCGTACATATACGAGCTCAACGAGGCCGACCTGGAACGCAACGAGACCATCTTTTCGCGGGAACAGCGACGCCAGAAGCGATCCATTAACCGGAGAGGCGGTCCTCAGCTGCCTGACCTCAGAGAGAGGCAACGGACGATCCGGACACTCATTGTGTCGTCTGTGCTGCCCGGCGCGGCCCTCGACGTGGAGGAGAGCAGACTGTACAAGAAGGCGGCGGGCGTGCCCAGGAAGAGGACGGCTCGCGACGGCGAGCTGTCGGAATCGGAGGAGAGCGAGGACTCGGGCCCAGACTCTCCTGCGCCGTCACAGCTCGCCGGCGGCACCGCCAGGACGAGGGGCATGCGCGGAGCGGCATCTGCAGCCCAGCAAAGGATGGCCAACCTGGGCCGCTCAGAGACGCCCGAAACGAGCGCCGTGCTGCACCACCACGAGACGAGGACGTCGCGCCGCTTCAGAGAAGAGACAGAAGAGCCGCTGCATCTTTGGGTGACGCTGAAGCTCGCCAAGGACAAATTACGACGCCTGTTGAGGGGAGACTATCGCGACCTGAGAACGCCGTCACAACCGCAGACACCCTCGTCCACACCACACGTGCGCGCTGCCAGCGCATCGAGCGTGCCCAAGTCCAAACCCACGCCCACGCCAACCCCCCAGACATCTGGCACATACCCTCCGGGCCAAATTGGCCGCCTACCCGCCCCTCCCCCCGTCCCCGGACAATCACCCCCTGCCGGAGTGAGTATACCCCGAAGTCTTGCATATACATGATTGCGGATTAGGTATTGACGTTCGAATCCGATAGCCGCCGCCACCGGAATGGCTTGTATCCGCCCTCAAGCAGCTTGAGAAGCAGTACCCCAACGGCGACAAGTTCGAGGCCATAATGAAGTACTCGTACCTCGACCCCGTCACAGAGCTGCCCATCCAGGGCCAGCCGCTACCCGAGGGCGTCAAGTACGCGTGGCTCCCGCGCATCCGCTGCCTGGACTGCCAGACTAAGCTGTACACGCCGGGGCCCGACATGACGGCGCAAAAGTTTGAGACGCACCTCAAGTTCTCCGGGCACAGGGAAAAGGTCAACCAGAGACTGGCAGCCCTCAAGAGCGGCGGCAGCGACGCCGGGGCGTCCGGCTCATAGAAGAGGGACGGGCGATTGCGGAGGCGCAGGCGACTGGAGTAAATCGGCAGCGTACTGTACTCGTTTGAGAAGCAACAACAATAACCACAACGATTCTCCCACTACCCCCACATTTGGGGCCTTGAGGAGACGGAGAGAGAAGGGGCTGTATTGTACCTTGGGGGCGTGAGAATGTGGGATCAAAAGCGGCAGGCAGCCAGGGATGGATGGATGGAAGGACGGATGGACGGACGAGGCAGGGCGAAGCGGGACTGTACTTATTCGGGTTGTCTCTTCTATGTTTTGGTTGTCGTTGTAGACGTGCGCGTTCAGGTCGGGGGGAGTTTTATGTGCCGTACATAGCTATTCACGCGGATGTGCCTCCCCCCCGGTTCTTCTCTCTTGCGGTCTGCTCTGTCTTGTGTCACGTATGCGTGCTGGGCCGGCTTGGCAAGACTTGATACTGTACGAAGTACTACAGAGGGGAGAGGAGAAAGGAGGATTCTCAGTTGGTTGGTTGGTTGCCGGGCGCGCGGAATCGACAGAGGTTTCGGGACCAGGGCTCTTTTCTGCTCTCCCCTCGTGCCCCCGTGAACCCGTCGTTCGGTAGATCCGTTCTCATGCTTTCTTCGCCGGTGGGTGGGTGGCATCATCTGATCGAGCGGTTCTTTTTATCATTGACGTCGTCACATCAATGCGTCCAGCAGCAGCCCAGCTCAGCCCAGCCCAGCCCACCTCATGCAAAGGATGATACATACATACATGCATACATGCCTAGTACATACATACGTACAAACATACGCAGTATTCATACACCAAAGGCAAGAAAAAGACCGGTGGTGTCACGACCATAGGGCAACGAAGGGCCTTGTTTGTCTGCTACACTGTAATACTGGAGAGAAAAGAGGCAAAAATACCAACATCGGGTATACGGGAAAATGGCACCGTAGAGAGACCTGACAGTGACAGGGACAGAGACAGAGAGAGAACCAGAGAAGCAGTGTGCAACCATTCTCGCTACTCCGACACAGTAGTAGTCTGAAGAAGAAATACTGGCGCGTCCCGTGTCAAACCAAACAGTAGAGGAACAAGACCATGCCCGGCCAAGAAACCCAGGAAGAAAACAAAAACAAGACGATAGACAACAAAATCGAGGACACCAGGCCACACACACACGCACATACATAAACGCATCCGCCATTGTTTTGTTTCCTTGCACATCTCCGCAAAGGAGGAGGGATAGGGAATAAAACCCGAGAACAGTAAAGGGGATTCAAAGAGTCGCCTCATTCCACGAAGAACACCGCCCTCCGACTGTACCTGCCCAAACCGCGGGACTCCATTTACTCAGTCTTCGTCGTCGTCGTCGACGTCCATATCAGACGAGTCCCTCGCGGCGCCTCTGCGGCCGCCACGGGCCCGCGCAGATGACGCCTTCTTGCCCTTGCCGAGCTGCGCGAGGACGCTGGCCTTGACGGCGGCCGTCCTGGGCTTGGCCTTTTGTCCGTTCTTCCTGCTGCTCGCAGGGGCCGCCTCTTCCTCCTCCTCTGACTCGTCGCCGCCATCGTCGTCCGCGGCTTCTTCTTCGCCACCGGACTCCTCGCTGGCTTCTGGCCCCTCGTCCGAGGAATCGCCTTCGCCCTCGTACGTCCACTCGGCCACGCCGTCCAGCATCTCTTCCTCGTCGTCCTGGTCGTCCCGCTCCTTGTAGTTGGAGGCCTTGTGGGAGCGGCCGCTGCGGCGGCGGTCTGCCTCGGGGATTGGTGGCGATGACGCGGCCTGCTTCTTGGGCCTCGACGACTTTGGCTTCGCGACCTTCTTCTTGATGGCCTTGGCCGCCTTGGTTTTCGGCTCGCCCTTCTCCCGTATGACTGTCTTGATCTGCGTCTTTGCGCGCTTCGGGGCAGGCTCAGACCCGTCACCCATGGACTTGCGCTTCTGAAAAGGGGCGTCAGCGTCGCCGTTAGCGGCAGTGTTGGAGGGAGCATACCTTTTTGCGGTCCAAAGCCCGGATGAGATCGTCCAGCCGCTCGTCCAACTCGTCCGGAATGTACTGCTTCTTCGCAATTTGCTGCGCCACCTCGCTTGAGGGGAGGGCCGTGTACAGCCCAGTCGGAAGCCCGACTTTCCCGGGCCAGGCCTGGAAGCTCCAGTTCCTCCTCTCCTGGTACTTGCGGATCACTGCCTGGGCCAGATCGCTGAGCACGTACAGGTTTTCGCTCGCTTCGGGGTTGACGCCATCCCTTGTTTGCTTGACCCTCTCGGCATACTTGTAGATCAGAGAGATGTTCTCTTCGGTCGCGAGGGCGCCCAAATAGAACAAGAAGTAGTTGGCAAAGTCTGCCAAGTCATCCGTGTCTGAGGTGTAATCGGGGTGGTGCGCCAGCAGAGGTATCAACCGGCCCATGATCGCCTCGAGAATCTGCTGCTTCTTCTCTCCGTAGTACCGAGCTCGCGACCGGATCCACGTCTCCACCCTATTCTTGAGGTCCGCTACGGGCTCAAAAGCAACGAGGAAGAGAATGGTGTGGAACCTGGCGCGAAGCTTGGCCCGCGTCAAGTAGTTTTGCAGCTTCTCCATGAACCGCCGGCGGACCTGAAGTTCGCTGTCTTGTACCAGCTCGGCCAGCTTGTTGAAGCTTGATGGGTCGAGCTGCTCGTCGTACTTCTTGACGGTACATAGCTTCAGGGTCAAAAGCCCAGCCAGGAGTCGCAGGCGCTTCTTGTGATGCAACGGAGTGTCCTTGGTCTTGCAAAACTCGCCCTCGTTGATGATGAAAGTCTTGAGCAGCTTGAGCACCGGCTTGACGTGCTCCTCGGCATCCGCTTCCTCCTCAGTGGCAAGTGCTTTGTTGACCAGAATCTTGAGACACCACATCTTGGCCTGGAGCTCCTCGTCCATGTCCGCGTCGTCAACCCAAGATGGATCTGCGTCCCCCTTTGAGTCCGTGCGCACCTCCCGCAAGATCTTCTTAATGGTCAAGTCGTGGATGGCGTCGTCCGAGTCAGCCGTGACCGTAGGTGCCAGCCGCTCAAGTTGGCTGATGGCGGCCAATCGAGTAAGGAAATGCGGGCTGCCGTAGGCCAGGCCCTTGATGAGGTTTCTAAGCAGATTCGTGGCCGTGACCCTGCTCTTGTCGTCGTTTCTCGCGAGGAGAATGTTGACGGCATACTTGCCACACTTTGGCGGGGAGCCGTACAGCGCGTAGTTCATCAGGGTCTGGTTGAAGCTTCGGTCGAAATTAATGTCCTTGGGGTATCGTTTGGAATAAGAAGAGTATGCCTTGAGAATGTCGGCGACCGTGGGGTCGTTGGTCCGCTTGTCCGTCGGCGCCTGCTCGATAATCTCTTTGCGGAGCTCCTCGGCATGGGCCTTGAAGATGTCAGGGTTTCGCTGCGAGATGTCGTTGAGCACCAAGTGGGCGACGGCGGCGAGGCCGTCCTTGTCGCTCTTGGAGTAGTCCATGATCGTGGCGAGATGACTGCGGTTGAACATGAGGCAGCTTGACCGGTACAACAGAGGGATGATTGTGTCGAGGCATCCGGAGGCGGAGCCGGCTTGAATTTTGGTGATGAGCTCGTTGATGGCTCGGCGAACCGTCTTAAAGTCGCTCTCGGATTCGATGGCGTACTTGACAAGCTGGTAACTGCGGCGGTCGTTGAGTTTGGCAAACTTCTGGAGATCGCCCCTGACCTTGAGGGGGTCCGGGAAGAAGGCGCCGAGCCACTGGAATGTCTTGGCCAGGCTCGCCTTGACCTTGTCTTCGTTGGCCTCGATGACGCCGCCGTTGTAGGCCTCGCACTGCTGGATGAAGATGCCCACGCCCTTAGCAAACTGAGGCTGCCGGGCCTGCATGGCGAAAAAGGCCTTTTGCGCGGGCGTATCGAGCGACTTGACCATCAAGAGGATTCTCTCGGCACGGATACGGTCCTGATCCGCGGCACCGGCGCCGCCCTTGGCCTGGGACGACTGCGAGGCGCTCTTTGCAGCCTTGCCCTTGATGAGCGGGTACTTGAGGGGTACGAGGCACTCGAACATGACCCTGTCGAGGAGAACGTTCAGGTCGGGGTCATTGGCGTAGAAGGCATTGATGATGCGCGAAGGAACGCCCGACAGGCACGCCGTAACGGCTTCTTGGCCGTCGGCGATCTCGCCCGCTCCAACAGCCCACAGCTTGCCCAGAAGGACCATCGCGTCCACTCGAACGGCTGGCTTCCTGTCGCGGCATCGGTCGGCCAGACTGGCAAAGACGGAGCCCTCCTTTTCCACACCGCCAGTAACCCCGAGCTTGAGGATGGCATCCCGGAAGTCAAACAGCTCAATGGCCTTGACCGCAGCCAGTCGGACCTTTTCCTCGCTGTCGTTGAGCTTCTCCACCAGCCCCTTGACCAACTCGCTCTCCTCCTCTCTGCTGAGACCAATGCCTCCGGCCGAGGTCGCCAAGATGTATCCGGCGGCAGTGACCCAGGCGGCGCGGATAGTGCCAGCCTTGTCGTTTTTCCTGCCGACAAAGTTGCGATATGTCGCATGGTGTGTCTGTGCAAAGGACTGCGGAGAGTAGGGCTTCGTCAGGACGTTGCCCTCGGTGGGTTCGGGCGAGGCCGCCTCTTCCATCAGCCTCAGGGGCGGATAAGCAGTAGGATCGAGAATTGGCGGCGGTGGAGGCCCCGCAGCGCCGATTCCAGCAATCATGTCGCCAAACGTCTCCGTCGCGATGAGTCTGAGGTGGACGTTATCGGCGGACAGCTCTGCGTCCAGTTGGGGGACGACGTTCTGGAGAATGGTGGGTGCAGCCCGCCAGAGCTCGCGAATAAGAAGATGCGCTTGGCGAAGGCTCTTGAGATCGGCCTCGGACGGCCCGGCATTGGCGTCCTCTTCGTCGGACTCGTCTCCTTGGCGGTAGCCGTTGGACTTGGTCGCGAAGCCCGAGGCGTTGAGGATGACATCGCTAAAGTATTGGCTGACGTAGCGGGACATCTTGTCGGCGCACGCGTTGCAAATGTTTTTGGCCATGGTGTAGGCGGCGGGCTCCGTCTTGTGCAGAAGGGTGGACTGCTTCTCGCCGTGATCCTTGCCTCGACCTCCTCCAGGCGGTGCCGCCCGCAAGAACTGGCTGATGATGGCGTCGATAACACTTGACGGCACGCTGCCCGACGACTCGTCTATCAACTCGGTGAGCATCTCGGTGAGGTGAATCTCGACGTCCTTGGCCACCTGCTCCTCGGCCACGGCCTTGGAGCTGGAGGACACGCCATCGAAGGTGGAATTGAAGAGTCGCAGCAGGAGCTCGTCGGCGCCGTGTATGTCTGAAAGTAAAAGTATGCTCTTGACGTCTGTCAGGGAGACGAGAACATATTTGTGTTGGCTGCTGTACGGGTTGGACGGGTCGTGGAGGGCCGGGAGAATATCCTTGACGAAAAGAGTGTACATCATCTGCGGTGGTGGCGCGCCGTCAGCATGGTTGCGCGCGCACTCGATTCAATCACCGACTCACCTTGAGCTGGTCGTCCGTAAAGGGCGCGTCCGGAGCAAAGAGGCGCAGGATGTCGACGAGGCAGCAGGCGGTGTAGGCCTTGACGCCGCGGTCCTTGTGCTGGAGGAGGTTGCGGTGGGCGAGGCTGGCGGTGACGGGCTTGATCGAGTCCAGGTCGACCTCGCCCTGGTCGAAGTCGGCGAGCTCCTTGGACAGCCTCTCGAGGCGGTCGACGAGGGTGGCGCTGGGAATGGGCTTCGCGGGCCGCCAGGTGAGCTCCTGATCGAACTGGAGTCTGCGCATCTCGCCCGGCGCCACGTTGTCGTTGCCGTTGCCGGCGGCGTGGTCCCCTGGCTCGTTTTCCGAGGCCTCTTCCTCTTCCTCTTGCGCATTCTCGGACTCGGACTGCTGCTGCGGCTGCTCCTCCTCCTCCACCTGCTCGACCGGCTCTTGGCGGCGGCTCCTGCGACGCGGCGGCATGGTGGCTGGCGCGACGGTGCTGGGCGACGGGGGCTCAAAAAGGGCGTCTGTGCTGGATGCACCGCCCGGCTTTGCGTGAAGACGACGGGCAGTCGGGGCTCTCTCGGCGCGCCTTTCGATTTGCTTTGGACGTCGCGCGCGGGTTACTGCATCGCCAGGCGAGACAGAATGCGGATGCTTCGAGGCCCGCGGCACAAAGTCGTCGCCGCGGCTTGGTGCGGCGTGCGCGCTGCGGCACGATGCAACGTCTCGGGGGAGGGAGGGGGACGGGCGCTCAGCTGTGCGACGAAGGTGGCGACGGCGACGGCGACGACGAAAACGACGAGAAAAAGTGCGAGCCGCTGTGCCGGAGGGGTTGGTGGGCGCGTCGTGGACGTGGTTGGGTGACGGCGAATGGACGAGAGCTGGCGGCGGCGGTGGTGGTGGTGGTGGTTGTGGTTGTTGCCGGCGCCGCCTCCCGAGCTAAGGTAAGGTGCTGGAGGTAAGGAAAGGTCCTCCTGCCCTGCTGGTGCTGGTATTATTACGCGACACGCGCCCAGCCAGCCAGAGCTCCAACACGGCCGGGGCGCTTTACCCCCCCCGCGCGCGTCGGCGCTAATTATGTGGCCCCGCGAAATCGCGACGAGGAAAGTAGCCTACCCTATGGCTTCTGGAGCTGCCGGCAAAGCGATCGCTCTGGAGCAACTAACTGGTCACCCTTCCTTTGTCATCATACTTTCTTGGCATACAATTGTTAAGAAAGTAGAGGAACTTACACCAATTCGCCTAACAACTGCATCACCAACTCTGCGAGCCGCGCGCTGCGCTGGCTCTGGCAGCGGGCCATGGCAACTGCCATGGGCTCGCTTGCCGGCTCAGATCCCCTTGATCTGGATAATCATGTTCCCCTGACTTTCGCCGACCGGGCCCGTGCTGCCCAGCTCCGAAACAGTTCTCCGGTTGTGGACCGGCCGATCGGTGTCTCACCGGCGCCACGGCGATTGGCTCAGACGCCATCTTCGCCTCTACTCCGACTCTCCAACTCTGCTGCTACGGAAGGTGCGCAGCCTGCACTCGCGCCGTATAGGCCCTCGCTAGAAACCATTCTGGAGCCCGTCTCTATCGTCGAAGGCGCCAACAGGGTCGCACAAGAGCAAACGGATGCCTACAACGCCAAATTAGCAGTCTTCCATGCATTCTGCGAATCATTCGACCAGGCCGCGAAGCAGTTCACGTCTGGAATTGAGCATACCTTCGCGAACCAATTCGCCACCAGCTTCCTCGATTTCTGGCGCCAGTCTCTCTCGATACTGCCGCCCGTGACGGCGCCGACGTACAGCAGCGTCGCCGCCGGTCGCAGCCCTCTCCAGGCCCCTGCAGGCCACGCCACCGCCCCCTCTGCAGTGGCCCCGCCATCTGCACCACAACAAACAGCCGAAATACGTCTCCAGGGACGACCAATCCCCGCCCCAGCGAAAGAGGACCTCCGGGTCTTTGTGCGACTTGACGCCGAAGCACCGGCGAGGAAGCTCGAATCGTACGCGATCCGGACCCACATCGCCGCGAAAGTCGGCATCGACCTCCACCAAATCCCGGCAGCCTTTCCCGTAAACTCGGGCTGGGCTATTCGCACCGCGGATGCAACCACTAGAGACCTCATCGCCCAGCGCCAGTCCGAATGGGCTGACGATCTCGGCGCGAAATCCGTTGAAGTCAGCAAGAAATGGTACACCTACGTCGTATCCAATTGTCCTCGCAGGCTCACTGATCTCCAAGGCAACGAAGCCGACTACGACGAAGCCGTGAAAGGCGAAATTACCTGCCAAACCGGCCAGACGGCCGTCAACATCCGCCCTAGTCGTCACGACTCGAACGATTTTCCTGTCAAGACACTCCTCGTGTCTTTCCTCAAACCCACGCAGAAACCCTGGCGGCTTTTCGGCTCCAGCAGACTCGCCCGATACATCGACAAACCCGTACCGCCCCGCCAATGCGACAAATGCTGGGACTTCCACGCCCGACATAGCTGCGACCGCCGACTGTCCTGCAAGCGATGCGGCAAGGCCGGACACGATGACTCCTCTTGCGCAGCGCCGGAGCAGTGCGGCAACTGCCTCGGACCGCATGCCGCAGATTTCCTGAAATGCCCGGCACGTCCCATACGATCCCATGGCGCCTTCCGCCGATTGACCAAGGAGGAGAAAACCCGCGTCCGAGAAATGGGCGCCCAGCTATCCGCCCAGCTAAGGCAAGGCACGGCTAAGGCGGACGCGCTCTCCCAACCGGACGGAGGATCGCCTCAGACCGTGAACCCCTCACCCGGACCGGCGCCATTGAGCGCACCTGAGGCGAACGACCGCCCTAGCCCTTCTGCTCCTGGTAGCACGCCCGGTAGCACGCCCGGCAGCACGCCCGGCAGCACGCCCGGCAGCATGCCCGGCAGCACGCCCCCCAGCGCTCCCCAGCCCAACGACAGCCAAATCGAGCCTGAAGCCAACACTTCAAGAGCTGAGAGCGAGACCTCGACTCTCAGCCCAACCATGACTATAACCCCGCCATACATCATCGTGGATACGACTCCTCGGCCCGCGAGCAGACCTGCCTCTCCCTCCAAGAAGCGACGCATCGACCCCATCGCGCATGATCCATGACGAGGCATACCCGTGCTCGACAAAACGGCAAGAATACTCTACGAATCTTCCAAGCGAACGTGGGCAAGATCCCACCAGCACACGACTGCGCCCTTGCACTTGCAGACTCCGAGCAATACGATGTTGTCCTGCTGCAAGAGCCCTGGACAGAAGCTAAATATGGCCGCTGTCTCACCAAAACTCACCCCGCATATGATACCTTTTCTCCAGTCGATAGCTGGACCAACAATACTACCCGCCCAAGAGTCATGACATACGTCCGGCGACGCCCCGGCCTAACGGCCGACCAACGACGTCCCGCGACAACTCGTGACATTCTCTGGCTCACCATTAACAATACGACGATAGTCAACTGCTACCGACAGCCTGACTTCGATGCGGCTCTTGACATACTCCTAGCCTGGAGCCCGCCGAGCAGGTGTTTGGTCGCGGGAGACTTCAACGCTAAACACTACAGCTGGCAGACCGGTCGTCTCGATGGCCGGGGCGACGACATCGCTCACTGGGCAGCTGAGAATCGCCTCAGCTTGCTCAATCCGACCGACGTGCCCACAAACCCGCATGGGAATACCATAGACCTTGCCTTCTCGAGTGTACCACTGTCCGAGGCAGTCGTGGAGGACCATCTGGCCACTAGTTCCGACCACTTCACGCTCAGCATAGCGCTTCCGGAGGCGGGCGTAGCGCCAATACCACCTGGAAAAGTCCGCGTCACGACGGAAGACGAGATCAAGCGGTTCGTAGATCTCGTCCAGTATGGGTCAGTGGACATTCCAGCCCCGACGACAACTATCGATGACCTTGATGCTCTTGCATCCGCCCTGGTGCGCCTCCTCCAAGCGGCGGCGAAGGTCGCCGGTCGCCCCGTTCGAAAGCAAGGACGCAGCGCCCCATGGTGGACCGAGGAATGCCGGCTCGCCGCAGCGGAATACCGCGCGATCAGAAGAGTCTATCCCCTTGGATTTTGTCGAGACGTTCAGCTGGCCAAGAAGGACTTCCAGAAGGTTGTCCGCCAAGCTAAACGGCTATACTGGCGCAACCTCATCGACAGCTTCAACGACAGTGCGTCTGTGTTCAAAGCCGTCCGATGGTTGAAGTCACCAGGTGCCTTCCAACCACCACCCCTCGAGGCGGATGGCGTGGTACACGAAACACAGCTCGACAAGGCCAATGCCCTCCGACGAGCCACGCTGGAAAGACGAACGGCGGAAGACGACATACCCGACCCGTGGGTCCCAGTCACCGCGGCAAGACCGATACCTTTCGCTCAAGATGTATCACTTGCCGAGGTGCAGGACGCGACCATCCGCACGGGAAACACATCCCCCGGCTCTGACAACATCACTGTCAAGATGCTCAAAGCGGCCTGGCATATCATCGGCGAACATGTCCGTAGTCTATACGAGGGATGCCTCCGACTCGGTCACCATCCGCAACCATTCAGAGAGGCAGAGGTGGTCATGATAGCGAAGCCGGGTCGTCGGAATCTGTCGACACCGCGCGCCTGGCGACCAATCTCGCTGCTCTCCTGCCTAGGCAAGGGTCTTGAGAGGCTCATCGCACGTCGCCTAGCGTGGGCGTCCATCCACTATGGTGTGCTCCATCCGCAACAAGCTGGGGCCCTGCCGAAGAGGTCCGCTGTCGACCTCGTGGCTGCTCTCGTGCACGACATCGAAGAAGCGTTCGCTCGCGGACTGGTCGCCACACTGGTGACAATGGACATTCAGGGGGCTTTTGATACCGTCCTCCGCAACCGACTGATCCTCCGCCTCCGCCAGCAGGGATGGCCTGAGCATCTCGCACGGTGGGCTGGCTCGTTTATGTCAGACCGCTC